GTAGTGTCCGAAAGAAACGGTTCTCGGTTGAGTGTACCGGTGATCCCAAAACCGATACAACCGGTTCTTGACTCGAGAACGAGAACCGCTTCAGCAGTGGCCGTGTACGTTCGTTATCCGGCTCGCTGCACACATGCTGCTCTGCTCGTGTTCATCTTCAGTTCTCTCTTCACAGCAGTTCAGTCAGTGTACTGTTTGAGTAAATGAATTACTCCGGGATATTGGTTTATTTCAACTCAGAGGGAGTGTCAGCCACGTTAAAAAAAGTGAATAACTTAAGTAATTTGTGGATTAATGCTTACTGCAGATGCGAACCATTTCAAACGATTCAGTGAACTGGTTCAACCGGTTCACTAAGAAGAACTGGTTAAATCGAACGATTCGTTCGCGAACCGGACATAGAGAGAGAGAGACCATTCACACTTTTAAGCTGTATGATAACAAACCGTCTTAACGCCATAAAGTGAAACATGCTGAAACATATTAATATAATAAACATAACAGAATGACGGCACTTATTAACATAGCAGTCTGTCGATTAGCATAAATCAACTGTTCATAAGGTATTAAACTGCTCAAAAATATATATTCCAATACTTTCTCTCGCAATTCTATCGTTGGGTAATTATACTGTATATTAACTGCGGGCATCAGTGAGCCGTTATTAATATGCGGGGCATTGAAACCGCTTTTGAATGCACGCGCGCGACCTTTCATTTTCGAGATTCGCTATCACATTATACTATGGAGCGGCAGTACTTACCACACATTTTACAAGATTAGATATGTGTCAGTGGTGCTCAGGATCTGCAAATCATTCGCCATCGTCCTCAGTCATCTCTCCACTCTGTTGCTGGTAAGTGAAATTGCATTTACTGTAATGTAACAGACTGCTAGCATGCGACTAACCATGTGTCCCTTTAGTGGCTCTGTAGAACATGTTATTCGTTTTCTGTGCCTTTCCCAGTATGGATTCAGCACACCTCTAACCCAGCCGGGGATATTTGTGGTCCGCACAGAACTCTTATTTGACATCGTTCTTAGTTGCAAGTCTACAGTGTGCGCGTGAGACGATGTGTTCTTCTGTTGTCTTTGGGGCCGTTCACGTCGCGCCTAAAAACACATGGAAAACGCTAGGCACGCCGCTTTCTGCTTTTTTCCAAAGGGTTCGGGCGCTTGAGCTCCGGAGGCGTCTGCCGTTGCTAAGCAACCATGACCTGCGCTCTCCATGAAGACGTGGAAGTTTCAGCAAAGGATAAATGGATTTGCAGCACTAAAAATCGCTTGCAGTAGCTCTGCTACTAAATTTATTTAAAAATGGCTATCCCTGTACAGCTATGATCAGCTGTTCCTTCATCTTGGCTGAGCTTTCAATGTTGTTACGGGAAAGGATGAAGCGGATTGGTTGGTTTTTGTCACATGACCCACGGTGCGCTTGTGGCATTCTGAAAAGTTGAAATGTTTTTATCTCGATGTGGCGCGGACGCGCCTGGAAAAATGAGCGATGAGTCGATTATGAGTCGATTCCAGTATTCCATTATGAGAAAAAGTCGCTTCCATTATGAGCGCGCCTGCCGCACGTCTACATTTGAAATAACGAACTTGAGTGCTCAAAAGACGCGATATGTGAACGGCCCCTTTGACAGCCTTTAGGTGCGTTACTGGCATCGCTACCCTCTGCTTACGCGTCACCACCGCATTAGCACCGAAAACATGGGGAATGTTTTTAGACAATAATAAACACAACCTATTCGATATTCTATGAATAAATCAATTAATCGAATATTCGAAAATCGTGACCCATCCCTAATATACAGTATATATATATATATATATATATATATATATA